GGTGAGTGGCCTTCGGATCCTTGGTCTTCCTTCCTCTCCTCCTGTCCACTCCCAGTCACCTACTGTGTACGGTCCTACGTTTCCTCCTCCGGACTCGACTCCGGCTGTTTTCTCTCCTCCTTGTCATGGTCGTCTCCTCTTGTTGTCCCGCACGACTGGACCAGTCGTTGTCCTCCGCATGCTTGGCCCTGGTCTTCTCTTGCCGACCTCCGCACTGTCTTGTTTCGTTCTCCTTCTCATCGTTCTCCGCATGTGTCTGTTCTCCCCTCACCTCCTGAGTCGTCTCTCACCGTTTCCTCTCACCCTATCACTGACTACTACCGTGTTGCTCGCCCTGTTGTCTCTCGTGTTCTTGCCTCTCTTGTCACCAACCCTCGTGCCTCTCTGTCGTCTGTCTCGGCTCTTACTGACGCTATCGCTGACTTTGCTTCCACCCGCCGTCTTGACTACGCCACGCGTGTGGTGGCTGCTCCACCTCCCCGTCCTCTGTCCGTCGGGGGTGAGTATGCCCTTGGATGTGACGTCCTAGAGGAGAGGCAGTTTGAGCTGGAATTCTTAGGAACCGCTTCCCCCTCTCTCTGCGCTATGCTACTTTCCCTTGAGGGAGACCTCGACGCCCTTGACATACCGACACCTCGCACGTACCGTGGGGCAGTGTTAGGGAAGTGGGCCTCTTAGTGGAAAGTGGCTATGGATGCAGAGTTAGCGTCTTGGAGATCCACAGGCACGTACGTCGACGCAATTCCCCCTCCCAGGGCGAACGTTGTCGATGACATGTAGCACTTCAAGGTGAAGCGGCCACCTGGTTCACCGCCTGTGTTCAAGGCGCGCTACGCGGCTAGGGGTTTCAGTCAGCGTGATGTAGTTGACTTCTTCCAGACCTTCGCCCCGACCCCGAAGATGACTACTCTTCGGGTGTTACTGCACATCGCAGCACAGCGTGACTATGAGCTGCACTCCCTTGACTTCTCCACTGCATTTCTCCAGGGCCGCCTACACGAGAAGATCTGGCTACGCCGTCCTCCTGACTTCACTGACACCTTCCCACCTGGGACCTAGTGGAGCCTGAGGCGGCCAGTCTACAGTCTCCGCCAGTCGCCCCGTAAGTGGCACGACACTCTTTGCTCCACGCTTCGTGACCTTGGGTTTTGCCCTTCCTCTGCCGACCCGTTGCTGTTTGTTCGCACTGGTTCCACTCCTTTCTTTATACTAGTGTACGTCGACGACTTAGTCTTTGCTACAGCAGACAGGGCAGCTCTGACTAAGGTGAAATCCGAACTGCAGAAGAGACACACGTGCACTGACCTCGGGTAACTACAGCGCTACCTTGGCCTGCAGATCACCAGGGACAGAGCCACTCGCACCATCACACTGACTCAGTCACACATGGTGCAGCATGTCCTTTGGCGGTTTGGGTTTCAGTTCTCCACCACACAGCCCACTCCTCTTGCCATTGACCACCGACTCAATGGCCCTTTTCCCGACGAGCCCTTTGAGTCTAGTAGCCCCTACGCAGAGCTTGTGGGCTGCCTCATGTACCTGATGACTTGTACTTGGCCGGACCTCGCCTTTCCCCTCAGCGTCCTCTCTCCCTTTGTTGTAACTGGGAGACACCGTCCAGTTCACTGGAGAGCTGATGTGAGGGTGGCGAAGTATCTGGCAACTACATCAAGCATGGGGCTTGTGCTTGGAGGGACACAACCAGTTGTGTTGACCGGTCACCGCGACTCTTCCTATGCTGCCGACGTGGAGACTCAGCGCTCGACTCAGGGTTACTGCTTCAGTCTGGGTGTTGGTGCTGTGTGGTGGAGGTCTACACGGTCATCGTCTATGGCTACGTCCAATGCAGAGGCAGAGATCTACGCTGGTGCCATGGCAGCACTGGAGCTTCGCTGGTTGACCTTCTTGCTCGCCGACCTTGGTGAGCGGCCTCGCTCTGCACCAACCTTGTACGCTGACAACAAGGCCATGATCCTCTTGTGTCGAGAGCCTCGATTGGAGAGCAGAGTGAAGCATATTGACGTGAGGTATTTCCTCCTGCGAGCGACACGGCCAGGCACGCTTGGACTTTGTGGCCTCAGAGGCCAACACTGCCGACGTCTTCACCAAGGCCTTGGCGCCTGACCACCACAGGTTCTGTGTGCAGTTGGGGCTTGTTGAGGTAGGCCCTCGGTTGCTGTAGACTTGCTGTTTGCTCTGCTTGTTGTGCTTTGCTATATATATCCTAGTGAACTCTTGAACTGGCCTTGTGGCCACTGTCTTGTGCTCGGAATTTGTGTGGTATCCTTGAGATCCACCCTGAGCTTGCTTTGCTTCTTGCATTGACTGGTCTTGTGACCGTTTGTTCACCATGCGTGCTATGCCCCTCACTTAGCGTATGGGGGCGTGTCAAATGTTGTTATATGTTCTTATGCTACAGTAAGTAGCACTCTAGGGAGTACAGCACTTGGTTGCTGCTTGTATCCCTTGCTTTCCTAGTTCACACATTCCATTGTGTTCCTACTTTGAGACTGTGGCAGCAGTTTGGCACACGACTACAATTCAGTTCATCATACCACCCCGAAACCGGTGGACAGACAGAACGGACAAATCAAACCATGGAACAGTTGATTCGAGCCACGTGCGATTACCCAACAACATGGGAACAGCAGCTGCCACTCATAGAGTTCGCGTATAAAAACTCCACGTCAGCCACGACTCAACAGTCACCGTTCTACCTCAACTACGGACAAAGCCCCACAGTACCCATGACACCGAATCTCGACAACCCAGTACCACGCGCGCAATAGTTCGCATAGATTTTACAGGCAGCACGGACCCGAGCAGCAGATGCAATTAAAAAATCCAACATCATCGCTAAACGCAACGCCGATCGCCACCACCGCCCCGTCACTTACCAACCCGACGACCTGGTATTACTCGACACTCAAAACCTCCGCCTACCCACCATTCCGAAACTCCGCCCCAGATATTGCGGGCCATTTCGCATCAGCCACATGATCACCCCCGTCACCACCCACCTCCTCCTCCCTGCTGACTGGTACGCCAGCTCGTCATTCCACGTCAGCCTGCTCCGCCCATACGTCACATCCACCAGCCAACTGCCTCACAATCGCCCAGCCAGCATGACACGACCACCCACGGAGCCGACCATCACACCATAAACAATCCTGTGCCACCGAGTTCGTGACCCACGTGGAGCTCGCAGGATCGTGTTCCTGATTCGTTGGAAAGACCGCAAGCCCACTGAGGACAACTGGGTGCCCCTGGATAGAATTGAAAATCGCCCTGTCCTCACCGAGTATCTCTGCAGCTGCAACTTTCGGGATGTACATGCACTCTCGTAAGGGGAGCCACCTTGGGGAGGGGGGTAGTGTAAGGAAATTTCATTTTCCTTACTTCGCACCCCTGCTTACCGCGTGCACGACAGTTCCCGCTAACAGCACCCAACAGTGCAACGTTACCCGCTCGCGACACTCGCCTCGACCATTGTCCCGCCACTAATCGCAACTCGACCCAACCTCACGGTTCGGTTGGTAACCCGCGCTCCGGACCTCCGCCTCGACATTTCCCAACCTCGGCGCTAGGCCCGTAGCGCACCCCATTTTCTCGTGTTACCATTACCACCAGGGGCTATTTTTTGTTTTAGCACACCCTTAAGTATCAGGGTGCTAGGGTGGCATCACCCTGACTGCCAGGATGGTTTTTCCTCCACCCTGTCCACACAAGGGTAAATGATTTCGCACACTGATTGTGTAAGGGTGTTTTCTAGAAATTTGCCAAAGTATCATACCTTGTTTAGGGTGTAGCGTGTACTGTTATGGCCATACTATGACTTCTGGCCTGATACGGTAGCGCGTCTTCGTCATCCTCGTCTTGAGTTATACGCGTGAGTCACAGGTGCGTGTGGAACAGAGGAGAATGACATGAGACGATTGAAAATGCCTTCCAAGAAGCATACGAAGTCCCTCACAATACAACACAGATGGCGTGCATGAGGTAGGAGGAGCCACAGGCAGGCAGGCACGTCCAAGTGCAACAAGACAACAAAGTGCTAGCAGCCAAAGCTGCCGCCACTTCGAATGGTAAAGCCAGGAAGGAAAAACAGAACCGTTCACCTTGACAGCACATGTGGTCGGTGGGCGGAATGCTTTAATCTGAATACAGTTACGCGAGAAACTCCAGAAACAATGATTCGGTAAAAGAATACTTTTCAACCAACACTGACTGGAACGTGTAACAAAACACCAACCCTGAGTAGAACAGGGTGTAAAAATTGCTACACTTTTGGGGAAAGGGTTGCAAATCAGCTGGCCTTACAAAATAAGGGTAAACTTAAAAAAAACGGCTTTCAGAAAAGGGAATCAGGGCAAATCACCCTTGAAAAAATGGCCCTGGTTACCACGCTGGCTTCGCTGTATATTGTTCGCTCATTCCTTCGCTCATTGTACTGTTTTGCTTGCTTAGTGCAATTCTAGCTCGGTCGCTCAATTGCACTCGTAACAGTTACAAAGAAAATCAATTTGCTTCCGTCCAGCAAATCAGGTCACAGTCGGTCAACCACGCTTTAGTCGACAATGGGTAGCCTCAAGAAGTTCCAGAAGCCACGTGAGACCATTCACACCCTCGGAGTCAGTGATCTGACGTGGGACGTTTTCGTCCTCCTCTCTGCTCGTTGACGACATCGATGGTAACAGAGGGTCCACGCGACTGATTATACGTCCCAATATGCCAGTCGCTGATTCAGACTATCCACCGTGGCAGAACAGTTGGGCAGCCACGTCTCACAATGAATGTCTGTTGCCTTTCAGGACTTGAGCTCGCGTTTCCGCTGGAATTCCAATTCGCGGCCCGCAAACATCATAAATTGCCTTCGTCAGAATTGGAAGCTCATCAACTTGTCTCACTTCGGCCTACCTCGCTCCACTGAAAATAATAATTCAACCTCATAATCTATTCAAACTTCAGAGTCATCGCTCTTCCTCCATCAGTATATCTCAATGACTTCCTCCCTCGTCGCACTCCAATCACTATCGGCTCTCTCCTTCACCACAGCCGTCAAGGGCGCTTCGTTCTCAGCCCGTCCCATAGCAGCCGTTTCCGCCGTAGCTCCCTGCAGGCTTGGTGTCACTGCCCTCCTGGACTTCAACAAATCCGCCGTCCCCGCTAAGACCACTCCCGCTAAGAAGCAACTCCGCACAGAGGATGGCATCTTTGGCACGTCAGGCGGCTTCGGCTTCACGAAAGCGAACGAGCTCTTCGTCGGCCGCGTGGCGATGCTCGGATTCGCCGCGTCGCTCCTCGGCGAAGCCGTTAGCGGGCAAGGAATCCTCTCGCAACTGAACCTGGAAACCGGAATTCCCATCACGGAAGCCGAGCCGCTCCTCCTCTTCTTCATCGCATTCACAGTGCTCGGCGCGATCGGCGGGCTCGGCGACCGCGGGCGATTCGTCGACGACGAGGCGCCTGCGGGTCCGCCGGTGAAGCCCGGCAGTTTCAAGGCCGCGCTCGGACTGAGCGAGGACGGGCCCCTGTTCGGGTTTACCAAGGCGAACGAGCTATTCGTGGGGCGCATGGCTCAATTAGGGTTTGCGGCGAGCTTGGTTGGCGAGGTGATTACCGGGAGAGGTGCGCTGGCACAGCTGAATATCGAGACTGGATTGCCGATTTTTGAGTTGGAGCCGCTGCTGCTGGCGAGTATTGTGTTCTTCTTTGTCGCGGCTATCAACCCCGGTACAGGGAAGTTTATTAATGATGACGAGTAGAGTTGTAGCACCTGTAAATAGTCTACCGTAAATTCTGTTTCCCCCTTTATACATGCAAATGTACGACAGTTTTGACACTTACTGCCTCAGCTTTTGAGCACGGGAATCATGCTTCTGAGGGTTGTGGATGCACCTACTCGCTCAGTGTTCATGAGGTGTAATGTGCTGTTTGCTAGTAGTTTGCACTTTATTATGAGTTCAAATTCATCATGATTCACCTCTTCAAAATTACAGGCTTTTACACATTCACGTTCACAGATGTTGACATACTATTAATATTTCAGTACAAGTTGGCTAGCCATGGATGCTCTTCCGGTATAATGCTGGATCTCAGCCTGTTGTGGGTATTGAAAGACAAGGCCAAGATCAAAGCAACGAGTCATTGAAGACAAGGTTAGTAGATGGATTGGGGAAAACGCGGAGAGGGAGAAGAGGAGTGGGGGGAAGTGCAGGGGTTTGTGGGTGGGGGAGGGTTGCATTGCATGCACCATCCCATCTCCCAGTGCCCCCGTCTCTCGACACACCAAGGCGCTCCTTTGGTGGTCACCCTTCCCTGATAAACCCCTTGAGTGACAGTGGGGTGATGGCCACTTGTCCCTAAAGCACCCTCCCTCCCCAGGTCTCACCTTGCGCACGGCCACGATCGCTTGCACCATGGCCTCCCCCAGTGCTGCCCGCATGACAGTGTCCGCCTCAAACGCCGCTAGTGAGTCCTCCAGGCACGAGGGCAGGCGAGGAGGCGCAGATTCGGCAGGAAGGTCAGCAGGGTTGACGTCTGGAGGGGTGGAGGGGAGTGGTAGGGGGTGGAACGAGGTGTGGGTGGGGGAATGAATCAGTCCACTTGAGGATGACACGGGGGGGTTGCAGGAGGGTGGCAGGCGTGGAGGTTGAGGAAGGTGAAAAATTAGGAGCTAGCCCACCTTGGTGAAAAACCAGGAGGGATAGATTGCAGCTAGCAGCACCAAGCGTGCATGCACGTGCATCTCACGTATCTCCCACGTCAAATAATTTCACATCCATCACATGCATTATGTAGCCTCTTGCGGAGTAATGAAGGATTCGAAACGCAGCAAGCCGTACTGTATACCGCTGTATTATACCATTTCACATCCATCACATGCATAATACCGCTGTATTATACCATTTCACATCCATCACATGCATAATACCGCTGTATTATACCATTTCACATCCATCACATGCATAATACCGCTGTATTATACCATTTCACATCCATCACATGCATAATACCGCTGTATTATACCATTTCACATCCATCACATGCATAATACCGCTGTATTATACCATTTCACATCCATCACATGCATAATACCGCTGTATTATACCATTTCACATCCATCACATGCATAATACCGCTGTATTATACCATTTCACATCCATCACATGCATAATACCGCTGTATTATACCATTTCACATCCATCACATGCATTATACCGCTGTATTATACCATTTCACATCCATCACATGCATAATACCGCTGTATTATACCATTTCACATCCATCACATGCATAATACCGCTGTATTATACCATTTCACATCCATCACATGCATTATACCGCTGTATTATACCATTTCACATCCATCACATGCATTATACCGCTGTACTGTACCATGCATGTGCCTTTTGAGGGCGTCACAAACGTCACATCATATCACATCCATCACATGCGTTTATAGCATCGTACCATGCATACACATCACGCCTTGCAGGCACGTGCTAGTAGGTTCCTTCTACCAGTGACAGCTCCCGCTCCAAGTTCCAACCCATACCCATCCATGGCAACAGCAAAGATTGCACCAAGTGCAGCTGACACCAAGTGCAGCTGAGCACGCGTATCACACGTCCCATACCCATGAAATCACATCCCCACCCCGTCCCACCCCCCTCTCCACCTTCCCTTCCCCTTCCCCTCCCACCCCCGCACAGACACTCTTGGGCACGTACCTATGGGTTCTGGCAGTGGAGACTTCTTCTCCAGCCCATCCATGCCGGCAGCAATGGTGGCCGCAATGCTAGCACCAGGTGCAGCAGAATGCACGGTTCACATGCCTTCACATATACATGGGATAGAACAAACACACTCACAAACATAGCCACACAAGCAAGGACACGTACCAACAGGTTCTGGCAGCTGCAGCTTCTTCTCCAGCCCATCCATGCCGGCAGCAGTGATGGCCGCCAGCACCAGGTGCGGCTGGGCGCACGCGTCACACGCCTTCACCTCGAAGTTGGTCACTTGGAACGCTGCTGGCACACCAGCAGCAGCAGCAGCAGCAGCAGCAGCAGCACCAGCTGTGGCATCAGCAAAACCAGCAGCTGCAGCACCGTTGGCGGTATCAGTGGGAGGAGCAGCCACTCTAACAGCCGCCTCGCGGTTCTCATGCCCCCAGCACTGGAAGGCCCCCGTCCACTTGTTGGGGCCCAGGCGCTCGTAGCTGTGTGCAACACAGCAACCAAATCGCAAGTGCCGGGTGGGGAGAGGGGCTGTAGAAATGAGGTATTGAACGGAGTGCAGATCCTGATTCAAACAGCGGGAGATAGGGGAGGGGTGTGGCGATGGGAGGTGAAGTAGGAATACGGTCATGACGGTAGTGAAGTTACCTTAGAGAGTTCTCTCAAGTTACGTTTGAGTATTGGAGTCACTGTTGATTTTCGAGTTCTCTCAAGTTACGTTTGAGTATTGGAGTCACTGTTGATTTTCGAGTTCTCTCAAGTTACGTTTGAGTATTGGAGTCACTGTTGATTTTCGAGTTCTCTCAAGTTACGTTTGAGTATTGGAGTCACTGTTGATTTTCGAGTTCTCTCAAGTTACGTTTGAGTATTGGAGTCACTGTTGATTTTCGAGTTCTCTCAAGTTACGTTTGAGTATTGGAGTCACTGTTGATTTTCGAGTTCTCTCAAGTTACGTTTGAGTATTGGAGTCACTGTTGATTTTCGAGTTCTCTCAAGTTACGTTTGAGTATTGGAGTCACTGTTGATTTTCGAGTTCTCTCAAGTTACGTTTGAGTATTGGAGTCACTGTTGATTTTCGAGTTCTCTCAAGTTACGTTTGAGTATTGGAGTCACTGTTGATTTTCGAGTTCTCTCAAGTTACGTTTGAGTATTGGAGTCACTGTTGATTTTCGAGTTCTCTCAAGTTACGTTTGAGTATTGGAGTCACTGTTGATTTTCGAGTTCTCTCAAGTTACGTTTGAGTATTGGAGTCACTGTTGATTTTCGAGTTCTCTCAAGTTACGTTTGAGTATTGGAGTCACTGTTGATTTTCGAGTTCTCTCAAGTTACGTTTGAGTATTGGAGTCACTGTTGATTTTCGAGTTCTCTCAAGTTACGTTTGAGTATTGGAGTCACTGTTGATTTTCGAGTTCTCTCAAGTTACGTTTGAGTATTGGAGTCACTGTTGATTTTCGAGTTCTCTCAAGTTACGTTTGAGTATTGGAGTCACTGTTGATTTTCGAGTTCTCTCAAGTTACGTTTGAGTATTGGAGTCACTGTTGATTTTCGAGTTCTCTCAAGTTACGTTTGAGTATTGGAGTCACTGTTGATTTTCGAGTTCTCTCAAGTTACGTTTGAGTATTGGAGTCACTGTTGATTTTCGAGTTCTCTCAAGTTACGTTTGAGTATTGGAGTCACTGTTGATTTTCGAGTTCTCTCAAGTTACGTTTGAGTATTGGAGTCACTGTTGATTTTCGAGTTCTCTCAAGTTACGTTTGAGTATTGGAGTCACTGTTGATTTTCGAGTTCTCTCAAGTTACGTTTGAGTATTGGAGTCACTGTTGATTTTCGAGTTCTCTCAAGTTACGTTTGAGTATTGGAGTCACTGTTGATTTTCGAGTTCTCTCAAGTTACGTTTGAGTATTGGAGTCACTGTTGATTTTCGAGTTCTCTCAAGTTACGTTTGAGTATTGGAGTCACTGTTGATTTTCGAGTTCTCTCAAGTTACGTTTGAGTATTGGAGTCACTGTTGATTTTCGAGTTCTCTCAAGTTACGTTTGAGTATTGGAGTCACTGTTGATTTTCGAGTTCTCTCAAGTTACGTTTGAGTATTGGAGTCACTGTTGATTTTCGAGTTCTCTCAAGTTACGTTTGAGTATTGGAGTCACTGTTGATTTTCGAGTTCTCTCAAGTTACGTTTGAGTATTGGAGTCACTGTTGATTTTCGAGTTCTCTCAAGTTACGTTTGAGTATTGGAGTCACTGTTGATTTTCGAGTTCTCTCAAGTTACGTTTGAGTATTGGAGTCACTGTTGATTTTCGAGTTCTCTCAAGTTACGTTTGAGTATTGGAGTCACTGTTGATTTTCGAGTTCTCTCAAGTTACGTTTGAGTATTGGAGTCACTGTTGATTTTCGAGTTCTCTCAAGTTACGTTTGAGTATTGGAGTCACTGTTGATTTTCGAGTTCTCTCAAGTTACGTTTGAGTATTGGAGTCACTGTTGATTTTCGAGTTCTCTCAAGTTACGTTTGAGTATTGGAGTCACTGTTGATTTTCGAGTTCTCTCAAGTTACGTTTGAGTATTGGAGTCACTGTTGATTTTCGAGTTCTCTCAAGTTACGTTTGAGTATTGGAGTCACTGTTGATTTTCGAGTTCTCTCAAGTTACGTTTGAGTATTGGAGTCACTGTTGATTTTCGAGTTCTCTCAAGTTACGTTTGAGTATTGGAGTCACTGTTGATTTTCGAGTTCTCTCAAGTTACGTTTGAGTATTGGAGTCACTGTTGATTTTCGAGTTCTCTCAAGTTACGTTTGAGTATTGGAGTCACTGTTGATTTTCGAGTTCTCTCAAGTTACGTTTGAGTATTGGAGTCACTGTTGATTTTCGAGTTCTCTCAAGTTACGTTTGAGTATTGGAGTCACTGTTGATTTTCGAGTTCTCTCAAGTTACGTTTGAGTATTGGAGTCACTGTTGATTTTCGAGTTCTCTCAAGTTACGTTTGAGTATTGGAGTCACTGTTGATTTTCGAGTTCTCTCAAGTTACGTTTGAGTATTGGAGTCACTGTTGATTTTCGAGTTCTCTCAAGTTACGTTTGAGTATTGGAGTCACTGTTGATTTTCGAGTTCTCTCAAGTTACGTTTGAGTATTGGAGTCACTGTTGATTTTCGAGTTCTCTCAAGTTACGTTTGAGTATTGGAGTCACTGTTGATTTTCGAGTTCTCTCAAGTTACGTTTGAGTATTGGAGTCACTGTTGATTTTCGAGTTCTCTCAAGTTACGTTTGAGTATTGGAGTCACTGTTGATTTTCGAGTTCTCTCAAGTTACGTTTGAGTATTGGAGTCACTGTTGATTTTCGAGTTCTCTCAAGTTACGTTTGAGTATTGGAGTCACTGTTGATTTTCGAGTTCTCTCAAGTTACGTTTGAGTATTGGAGTCACTGTTGATTTTCGAGTTCTCTCAAGTTACGTTTGAGTATTGGAGTCACTGTTGATTTTCGAGTTCTCTCAAGTTACGTTTGAGTATTGGAGTCACTGTTGATTTTCGAGTTCTCTCAAGTTACGTTTGAGTATTGGAGTCACTGTTGATTTTCGAGTTCTCTCAAGTTACGTTTGAGTATTGGAGTCACTGTTGATTTTCGAGTTCTCTCAAGTTACGTTTGAGTATTGGAGTCACTGTTGATTTTCGAGTTCTCTCAAGTTACGTTTGAGTATTGGAGTCACTGTTGATTTTCGAGTTCTCTCAAGTTACGTTTGAGTATTGGAGTCACTGTTGATTTTCGAGTTCTCTCAAGTTACGTTTGAGTATTGGAGTCACTGTTGATTTTCGAGTTCTCTCAAGTTACGTTTGAGTATTGGAGTCACTGTTGATTTTCGAGTTCTCTCAAGTTACGTTTGAGTATTGGAGTCACTGTTGATTTTCGAGTTCTCTCAAGTTACGTTTGAGTATTGGAGTCACTGTTGATTTTCGAGTTCTCTCAAGTTACGTTTGAGTATTGGAGTCACTGTTGATTTTCGAGTTCTCTCAAGTTACGTTTGAGTATTGGAGTCACTGTTGATTTTCGAGTTCTCTCAAGTTACGTTTGAGTATTGGAGTCACTGTTGATTTTCGAGTTCTCTCAAGTTACGTTTGAGTATTGGAGTCACTGTTGATTTTCGAGTTCTCTCAAGTTACGTTTGAGTATTGGAGTCACTGTTGATTTTCGAGTTCTCTCAAGTTACGTTTGAGTATTGGAGTCACTGTTGATTTTCGAGTTCTCTCAAGTTACGTTTGAGTATTGGAGTCACTGTTGATTTTCGAGTTCTCTCAAGTTACGTTTGAGTATTGGAGTCACTGTTGATTTTCGAGTTCTCTCAAGTTACGTTTGAGTATTGGAGTCACTGTTGATTTTCGAGTTCTCTCAAGTTACGTTTGAGTATTGGAGTCACTGTTGATTTTCGAGTTCTCTCAAGTTACGTTTGAGTATTGGAGTCACTGTTGATTTTCGAGTTCTCTCAAGTTACGTTTGAGTATTGGAGTCACTGTTGATTTTCGAGTTCTCTCAAGTTACGTTTGAGTATTGGAGTCACTGTTGATTTTCGAGTTCTCTCAAGTTACGTTTGAGTATTGGAGTCACTGTTGATTTTCGAGTTCTCTCAAGTTACGTTTGAGTATTGGAGTCACTGTTGATTTTCGAGTTCTCTCAAGTTACGTTTGAGTATTGGAGTCACTGTTGATTTTCGAGTTCTCTCAAGTTACGTTTGAGTATTGGAGTCACTGTTGATTTTCGAGTTCTCTCAAGTTACGTTTGAGTATTGGAGTCACTGTTGATTTTCGAGTTCTCTCAAGTTACGTTTGAGTATTGGAGTCACTGTTGATTTTCGAGTTCTCTCAAGTTACGTTTGAGTATTGGAGTCACTGTTGATTTTCGAGTTCTCTCAAGTTACGTTTGAGTATTGGAGTCACTGTTGATTTTCGAGTTCTCTCAAGTTACGTTTGAGTATTGGAGTCACTGTTGATTTTCGAGTTCTCTCAAGTTACGTTTGAGTATTGGAGTCACTGTTGATTTTCGAGTTCTCTCAAGTTACGTTTGAGTATTGGAGTCACTGTTGATTTTCGAGTTCTCTCAAGTTACGTTTGAGTATTGGAGTCACTGTTGATTTTCGAGTTCTCTCAAGTTACGTTTGAGTATTGGAGTCACTGTTGATTTTCGAGTTCTCTCAAGTTACGTTTGAGTATTGGAGTCACTGTTGATTTTCGAGTTCTCTCAAGTTACGTTTGAGTATTGGAGTCACTGTTGATTTTCGAGTTCTCTCAAGTTACGTTTGAGTATTGGAGTCACTGTTGATTTTCGAGTTCTCTCAAGTTACGTTTGAGTATTGGAGTCACTGTTGATTTTCGAGTTCTCTCAAGTTACGTTTGAGTATTGGAGTCACTGTTGATTTTCGAGTTCTCTCAAGTTACGTTTGAGTATTGGAGTCACTGTTGATTTTCGAGTTCTCTCAAGTTACGTTTGAGTATTGGAGTC